ACTTAAAAGCTTATTTGTCAAAAGTCTTGATTATAATATTTTACTTAGTCACAGATATATATTTATACTTGTTATTCATTTAATTAATAGATTTTCTAAGGTACATGTCTGATAAAAATATTTATAATTTTTATTTTTTAGATGGTAAAAATACAGTTTTATTGTATTTATTACATGCTATACTAGTACCTACTGCAAAAAAAATTACTAAAGATCATAATGGGAAGAAGTGTCAAATAAAATACTTAATAAAAGATTCTCAAAACAGCTTCATGACATTTAAAAATTCTGTAGCTGAAATTGAAGAACACATTGTTATGCGCCAGAATGAAAAAAATCCAATTCAGCCATTTATTATTATTGTAGGTACCCCTACTAATCCTAAAGAAATAATTGTTTTTTTCGATTGTATTAAGTATAAATTATTTACTATACTATCTGCTGTAGATGTTTGCTTTAAATTATTTCATTTGTTTAACTTGGAATATCCATGTGAATCATGTGTAGTATGGCTCTTTATACAAAAGTATTTTTATTCATTAACTACAAATTTTGATAAATCATTTCATACTTTAGGTCAAATTTTATCTGATTTAAACAGTAAGTAACCATATGTGTTTAACAATAAAATAACATTTATAATATAAAATTTGTGGTTATATTTTATTAATTTAAAAAGACTACCTACTTCAACCTACATTAATCTACAATTATTTATATGTATTGTATTATTCGGTAAATGATTTTTCATGGTTAATTTTATTTGAATCCTTACATATCCTTACATAATCCTAGAATAATTCAAATAAAGTTTATTCTGAGTTAGTATTAGTTTTTAAACAGATTATTTAACTTATTTGAGAATACCAACATATTTTAAATTTCCATCACAAGAAGTCTAACTAACTTGATATTTTAATACATAAATTATATTATTATATTATTAAGTAACAATATTTTTGCTATACCATACCTAGTAAGTACAATATCATAATGATAAAGACTTTATTAACCTGATAAAATATTTATTATGCAGATTGAACTTTATATTTGTAAAATGATAAAGTAATGTTGTTATTACAATAATATAATTTATCGTTATGATAAAAATCGCAGTTTAAATTCAACATTAAAAAGTTGTTGGAGTAACAATATTTTTGTTAATATAACTAATTTATGAACTTCAATAGTTTCAACAATATAGTTGTTCGTTTGATAAATAATTCTTGTTGGCCCTATGTTAACAAGAATTTTGTCAATTCAACTCATATTTTTATCATTATGATTGTGGTTTTTCTTTCGGTGTGGAGGCTTTCAAATTTGGTTATGTTGAGAGAACTCATTTAGGAGATCATACATTTGTAGACGTGTCGCAGGTATACATCATGTATGAACGAGTTCATATTTTAACAAAATATTTATTATAATTGAACATCATTAAATTTTTTTAGATCTATGATAAAGTAAAGTCGGATTGTTACATGGATGGTATACAAGGTAAAATATCCGATACTTTTACTTCGTCAGATCCAAAATACTATGGCGCTGACTTTCATATGCCAGAGAATCACGGGACTGCTAACATAGTCGTAACGGATTCAGAGGGAAATACTGTCGTGTGCACCAGTACATTAAACACATTGTGAGGAATAATAATTCATATCAAACCGTTTAGTTGGTCCACGTAATTGCAAAATTCTAGTAATGCATTTAGTTTTTGTTTCGTTTAGTTTTGGGTGTGGATTCATGTCCCCCAGCACTGGTATCATTTTTAATAACCAAATGAATGATTTTTCTTCTCCGGAGGTTGTAAACAACTATGGAATTCCGTCTTCGCCCGCCAATTTTATAGAACCAGGCAAACGACCAATGTCTTCAATGTGCCCAACTATAATTACTGACAAAAATGGTGATCTTGTTCTTGCCATAGGAGGAGCAGGTGGATCAAAAATTACTATTACAATTGCCTATGTATGATTTATTTTACTGCTATTGAAATATTATTCAGTTTTTGGGTTTTAAGATATAGTTTTTAGATATTTTTTTCAATACCTTTTGTTAGAAATTTAAAAATTTTATAAATACAATTTAAAATCTCTTTTATTCAACAGTTGCAACTGTACCAGTAGGTTTTAAATCTTAGTAAGTATATGATCAACAAGTGTTACATATTTTAACTTTTTAATAGTCATTGTTTCAACAATTGGCTTTCTTATAATTTTTACACTGATTTGGGGAAAACGTTTTTTCGCTAAAATAATTATACTTACATGCAATGTGCAATCTTAAAATACATCAATATTGCTGTCATATATTACTAGCTACTTCAATTTTCAATAAATTAGTTTGAATATTTTTATTCCTAGGTACCAGACCATAGTACCTTACACATAGTTAAATTAGCTATAATTATACCGTATTTTACGTTATTTTACATTTGAATGTTGGTAGAAACATTTAATACTTTTTATTTTTTTTCAGGTTTTGGCCCTTAAACTATGGTACAATGTGACATTGAAAGAAGCGATAGACAAACCTAGAATTTATCACCAACTTGTTCCCATGAAAGTTCTATATGAATACGGAACGACAAAGGTTACTGTTGAAATATATAATAAAAGATATTATTTAACGAAATATTTTGACATTACTATCTGTTTATTAATTTTAGGACGTTGTTCAAAAACTTAAAGATATTGGCCATCCAGTGATGAGATTAAACAATGTTGTTTCAGCAGCAACAGCTATTGGGAAATTAGCATCAGGAATGATCGTAGCTATGCCAGATTTCCGGCGACCAGGAAATTCGTGCGGATATTGATACGAAAAAGCCCTTCTAAATTAATTTATCTTTTTTTACAAACATTATTGTATATTATGTAAATGTCTTTAACAATTATTTAAAAGCTATTGACCTAAACAGTGTAGTCATTGATTTTCTTATTGTATTTAAATACATAGTATAATAATATATGGCCTGTATTTTAATAAAATATTATACAATTGTTCACACGTCGTACTATTTTACATTCTGAGCGGAGGGATGAATGTATTGATTATACAATAATGTGTATTTTTTTATTATTGTTATTTGTATCTGAGTACATGATAAGTAGTCGAAATAAGGATTCGATTACCATTTACCAACTTCAGAATCTTTTCTGGTGAGAAAGTGAATCTAGTTGGTGTATTCAGATCAACATTTAAAATTCTCAGTAATTTTCAAAAGCGCATGGAAAAACAAAAAAGAGATTACCCTCTTACCCGCTTTTTTTTAAATATATAAATATTCTCAGTAGCCGTAACATTTTTTTTAAATAATAGAAATTAGGTTTAAACGTTAAAATTATGAAAATTAATAAAGAATTCATTTTTTTAAAAATAATTTCTAAAATAAATCAGTTGCACAAATAAGAATACTACATACATCGGAAAAATAATGTAATATTATGTTCTAAATTTCTGATGTAGATACCTACTCGTACAGTAGCGTGACTACGTTCACTATAATATGTTCATTTACATTTTCTTAAACAATATTAAATTCTAATATTTTACTGTCTTAAAGTAGGTATGATGTAATATTGTGTTCAGTCTGAGATTCTATTTGAAGATAGGGAAGTAGGCAGGTGCTCTATTAATTAACATTAAATGTTATGTACCTAAAGTGAATTTTAAAATTGTTCAAACTTATTAATTATTGTATACATATTTAATTTTTCTTCCGAATGTGTTTGTGTCGAATCTATATTCAAGGCTTTCAATTTTTTTTAAATTTCACGTACTTGCATTACAATTTTTCATAAGAAATTAGTAAGAATAAGGTTTAATTATGTTACTACCCACTGTATACAAATTAGTTCTAATATAGATCTATTGAATTTACTGGTTGTCTTTTAGTTATTACGTTCAACTAAATAAATTACTAATACATGTAAGTTTTGAAAGGAATACAAAGCCATTCGTTTAATATGTTCAGCTAAAGAAGTTATTAAATTTCATTGTTCGGTTTGACTAAATTATTTGGTTTTGTAAAACGGATGAATAGTGTGTTTATTTAACATACTAACTTAGATCATAGTGCAACATAGGATTTTAATCGTCAAATAAGCGCACCTTCGATATTAAATCGGTATCGTTTAATAATTAATTCAAATCGTTCTTAAATAATAAGAAAATATTTTTTTCGTTTGTATGTAATATTTAAAAGTAGGTATAAATATTAAAATACATAATCTTAAAGCAATAGTGCCCACCTTCAACTGATACTTTATAATAAAGTAAATTGTTCAAATATATAATACCTAGGTGTATAAACTTACGATTATTTGGAAAGTATCAACCACCTGGTGAGTTTATTATTTTTTAGATGTATACATTTTTCTTTTAAACAGTATATTAAATAATTAAGTTTACATAATTATTTTACGTTTTTTATTTTTTTCAGATAAGAATCCTAATTTTGTTATTGTGAATTAAACTATATTATTTAGTATATTCATTATTCAATATTGTACATACTACATATTATATTCTTCAGGATGTATTTTAAGTACGATTATTTGATTTCTTAGTTATAAAACATAATAGAAACCTACTTAGAGTACGTATGTGGTACTCAGTTAGAAATTATCAGTCAAGTATTCAAAAATCGTGGTTCTAAATTGTTGAAACATTTTTCATCGAATCAAATGCTATTATACTAATATTTCGAATGATCTCAAAATATCAGAATTAATAGAAATTTTAAAGAACAAAAATATTAATTTTAATGATCAATAAACATAACTAGGTAACAATTATATTGGAAAAAAACATATTATTAAAACATATAGTGCTCGATTTAAACGTATTTTAAAATTTTAGATAGTACATATAGTATCTAGTAAGTTCTAGATCCACTGCCGTTTACTGTTATGATTTTTTATTAAATATATAGTGTACATATGAAATAATTTTTAATGATTTTAAAATTAATTGAATTGAGTTCATTTGACAATGTTAGTATGGAAACGAGTAAAGGGCTTTCACGATTTAGTTGAATTTCTAAATGAAAACAGTAAATAGGTTCTTTAATAGTCTTATTTACACCGGACAGCTTATACTAACTGGTTTTAATTTTTTAAATTAATTGCTTAGCTAAATATCGTATTTTAAATTAATATTTCTGCTAAAAAAATCGCAGTAAAAAAACATTATAACTAAATCATGTAGGTATGAAAAATTATTTTTTGAGGAAAATTATCTTAAAAAAATCGGGGCTCACTGAAAAAACTAGTGTAGACACCCGAATTCCATCAAATGGTAAAAAACAAATAAAAAATAAATGTCGCTCTAATGCATTATCTTATACGACTTTTAATACTTGACGCCCAGATTACCCATAATAACCGATAAAATAATTTTATTTATCTGTAAATTATATATTTAACTAAAATTCATTTTTATGCATTTAAAAAAAAAGTATAAACACACATATTTATATTTTGAATTATAATTTTCAGAATTCAATCAATAAAATTGTTTCTTTTACAAAGCATTTTGGTGTTTTGTATTATAGTACTACTTTCATATCGTTACTTAACTTTGATAGATGTCTCCATTGATCCAATGACTCCATTGCCACTGTCTGCTATAGAAATGGGTCAGTATAATAATGCGGCTGTCGTTTCTAATGGAGAACCATGTGCAAAAATCGGAACGTAAGAACACTAAGAACAATATTGGTTACAACATTAAAAAATATATCATGGTCAATAATAAGATTTGTTATTCATCACAAATTACTAGTAAACTCAATGCCATTAAAAAAAAACAATTTATATGTTTATTAATTTGAAAAATATTACGGAAAAATTCTTAACTTACTGTTAGTCTAAAGTGTTATTATTCTTTGCTAAGGATTCAATATTCTATGGTTATGAATAAAGACAGGATTTAATTGCATTGAAAACACATAACAATTGCATATGAAAATTCTTAAATTTTACCTAAAAATATTTGCATAATAAATTGCACTCTAAAAATTCAAAAGCTATATAAAAAAATTAGATAAATACTAATTTTTTGAATTAAAATTGATAATTAGGTACATTTCCAAATTATTCACATTAAAATAAAATCTTCTTTCACTTAAAATATGTTTGTACAAAAAAAAAACTATGTTCTACGTGAACCGTTATTGGTGCATATTTAAAACAATTCAAAAGGTAGGCGTTGTATCTAAATTAATATATTTTTTACCCGACATGTCTTCATGCTTAGATTTTTTACCCTTCATTTTTTTCAATTACATACACACAATTATCTTTAATTTTTTTTCTATTTGGACCAGGAATATCTGTTAAAATATCTTCAATTAATAACTTGTAAATTATAATGTTATATTAGAAAAATTTTGCTTAAAAGTACTTGCACGTTATAGCATCTTAAAGCTAATGACAATATTTATAATTTTTCAATTAAGTTCATTTTGTTATAACATTTATGAATTGCTTAAGTATTTTCTTCACAAGGCGCTTATTGATGCGAAAATTAACTATTGAAAGTTCTGTGTGCTCCAGAGTAATTATGTATTTATTTAGTTGATCACAATCATGTGATTGATTGAAAGATTTATTTTACATGCATCAGTACCTCACGAGTGCCGATTCATAGCTTTAAAAGAAGTGAGCATCTGCATGGCTGCGTTGGTCCTTAATCTAAATTACTTCAATATATTTTGGTATTTTATGCAATACAATAAAAATCCAATCGTCGTTAGACTTTTAAAGTTTAAAATATCTCTACTTGATACTTCATTCGATGACCTGATATAATATATGGTACATGTTTAGTGTTTAGTGTTTACGTTGGTAACCCTATATTATTTGTACGTAATATTACATATGCAAGGATTGACATAATTTTATATAAAATATTTTCAAATATTTAAACAAATGTTGTATTTCATAGACATTGTATAAAATATTAATTTATATTTTCGTATTTCAAGTACTTACTTTTTGAATTCAAAAAAATATATTTTCCAAATCATTTTTTTTTCTACCGCCATGTATTTAACTTTAGTTTTATGGTTTTCCTTCAAAGAAGCGAAAATATTAGGAATTTTATGATGGAGATAACAAATTTGAGTGTAAATAAATTAGTAAAATACATTTGTAAATTGTGTAACCTAAAATGAACATTTTCGTCAAAATAATATGACAAATTTTAAACGATAATAATGTAATATTTATGTGTCAACGTCAAACAAAGTGGCGTGTATACAACTTACTAAATAATTGGTTTTATATACAGTATACACTTTTGTTATAGTGACATTCTGAAAAACGGTGGAAATTCAATAGATGCAGCAATAGGTACATTGTTGTGCGACAGTGTTGTATGCCCGGATTTAACGGGCATCGGTGGAGGTTTCCTAATGACCATATACAACAGAACTACAAACACATCGTTATTTATAAATGCTCGAGAAACAGCTCCAGGTGCCGCCAAGTACACTATGTATGACAACGATCCGTCGAAATCATTAACCGGTATGGAAAAACATATTGAAAGTCTGTGATTGACGCAGTTATCAAGCTTTCTAAAAAATAATAACAACTATTGTAAATGGTTTAGTAAATAGATAGGTATTGCGTAGTTAAATCATCATATTGGTATTTCCAATGTATGACATACTACTACGCATTATAATATAAAATATGTAGAGGTACCTACACTTGAACGTTCAATAAATATTTAAATATTCTATAAATAACTATACTAATATGTACTTTTTATGCACATTCAAAACTATTATTTATTTTGTTGGTAACAAATAGTAATTATTATTTTTCATTAAAACTCTTTGAAATTCGTTTATATAAGAAATAACTCAAATAAGAATATAAGAAATCGTGATGATATCGTTTATTAAATCGAATTCTAAAATTGAAATTACTCTTTTATTTACGATGACACTGCTACA